ATAAAGTGATTATCAAGGATTCCTCTAAAGTAGGGAGAATAAAATTTGTATGATTTGATAACTTTTTCTTCACCCTTTCGCTTTGTTCTCACATCCTCTTTTTGGGCATGTACAGCACAAGAGAGGGATGATTCTGGAATGGTCTGATCTATCTATCTTTCTATCTATCTAATTTTTTTATGCTGTTGAATGCTTCAGCTACAGTATAGACAGTATGATAATTGTGTCAGAAAATACCAATTACACAATTGATTTAATATTGATTCATTTGTAAATATTTCAGACAGGCTTACATGTTAGTTTTTCCTAAGGAACAAACTCTCCAAACTAATACTCTAAACTATACAGGGAACCCTCTCATATGCTACATTACTACAATATTAAAGGTTAAAATTATCAACAGAGCTAAAATATTCAACTGCTATTTATTTTCAGATATAATAATCACACTCAAATATGAGTTGTATACAAACATTTAAATTGCACGTAAGGTAGTTTTCATAAACACTTGTCTTGTTCATTAGCTCCTCTGTAGTGTTTTTTTTTAGCTAACTAATAAACTGTGAACACTGGATAACTTTCCTGAGGTAAATGAAACATTAAGTGACATAATTGTTCAGACTGTTGTTTGTTTTACTGCTGTCTTTCTGCGATTGAAACCCTTATGGAGTGATTACATAAGAGATGAAACATTTTAGTAAATTGTACTGTTTCTTTCGACATACCTTCTGATGTTCAATCATGTATATTTCGTCCTATAACCTGTAGTTAATTGGAAAAGATGACTTGCGATCCACGCTTAAACTTGGCAACACTAGTTTGAACGTCGTATGAATCACTGTCGTTCAAGCTTGAACGACGGGTGATTCATAGGACCAATAGAACCTGTATTAACGTCACTTTTTTAATTCACAATCCCTGCAATATATGGGAACATGGGAACTGGAGGACCTGCTGTTGACATGTAATGTAATGGCTCATCGGTGTATATATATATACAGTGGGGAGAACAAGTATTTGATACACTGCCGATTTTGCAGGTTTTCCCACTTACAAAGCATGTAGAAGTCTGTGATTTTTATCATAGGTACTCTTCAACTGTAAATGACGGAATCGAAAACAAAAATCCAGAAAATCACATTGAATGATTTTTAAGTAATTAATTTGCATTTTATTGCATGACATAAGTATTTGATACATCAGAAAAGCAGACCTTTATATTTGGTACAGAACCCTTTGTTTGCAATTACAGAGATCATACGTTTCCTGTAGTTCTTGACCAGGTTTGCACACACTGCAGCAGGGATTTTGGCCCACTCCTCCATACAGACCTTCTCCAAATCCTTCAGGTTTCGGGGCTGTCGCTGGGCAATACGGACTTTCAGCTCCCTCCAAAAATGCTCTATTTGGTTCAGGTCTGGAGATTGGCTATAGGCCACTCCAGGACCTTGAGATGCTTCTTACGGAGCCACTCCTTAGTTGCCCTGGCTGTGTGTTTCGGGTCGTTGTCATGCTGGAAGACCCAGCCACGACCCATCTTCAATGCTCTTACTGAGGGAAGGAGGTTGTTGGCCAAGATCTCACGATACATGGCCCCATCCATCCTCCCCTCAATCCGGTGCAGTCGTCCTGTACCCTTTGCAGAAAAGCATCCCCAAAGAATGATGTTTCCACCTCCATGCTTCACGGTTGGGATGGTGTTCTTGGGGTTGTACTCATCCTTCTTCTTCCTCCAAACACGGCGAGTGGAGTTTAGACCAAAAAGCTCTATTTTTGTCTCATCAGACCACATGACCTTCTCCCATTTCTCCTCTGGATCATTCAGATGGTCATTGGCAAACTTCAGACGGGCCTGGACATGCGCTGGCTTGAGCAGGGGGACCTTGCGTGCGCTGCAGGATTTTAATCCTTGACGGCGTAGTGTGTTACTAATGGTTTTCTTTAAACTGTGGTCCCAGCTCTCTTCAGGTCATTGACCAGGTCCTGCCATGTAGTTCTGGGCTGATCCCTCACCTTCCTCATGATCATTGATGCCCCACGAGGTGAGATCTTGCATGGAGCCCCAGACCGAGGGAGATTGACCGTCATCTTGAACTTCTTCCATTTTCTATTGATTGCGCCAACTGTTGTTGCCTTCTCACCAAGCTGCTTGCCTATTGTCCTGTAGCCCATCCCAGCCTTGTGCAGGTCTACAATTTTATCCCTGATGTCCTTACACAGCTCTCTGGTCTTGGCCATTGTGGATAGGTTGGAGTCTGTTTGATTGAGTGTGTGGACAGGTGTCTTTTATACAGGTAACGGGTTCAAACAGGTGCAGTTAATACAGGTAATGAGTGGAGAACAGGAGGGCTTCTTAAAGAGAAACTAACAGGTCTGTGAGAGCTGGAATTCTTACTGGTTGGTAGGTGATCAAATACTTACTGTATGTCATGCAATAAAATGCAAATTAATTACTTAAAAATCATACAATGTGATTTTCTGGATTTTTGTTTTTGTTTCCATCACTCACCGTTGAAGAGTACCTATGATAAAAAATTACAGACTTCTACATGCTTTGTAAGTGGGAAAACCTGCAAAATCGGCAGTGTATCAAATACTTGTTCTCCCCACTGTATATACTGTATATATATATATATATATATATATATATAGGACTAAAAAGGTCTACTGACTAGTCTATTATAAAAGTATGGAGATACAATTTTCTAGGCCGATTCCGTTTTCCAATTTTTCATTGAGTTTGACCTACCCAAAACCGATTTTAGCCGATTCCGATTTCATTTTTTCTAACCACTTTACAGCACACACAAATATTTATTTTCTATCTTTTCTTTAATAGATTTTTTTTTAACAGATAATTGCTATAAAATAGAACTATATAAATTACTCCTGGTGTGGGAAATTCACACACATCTAAAGTGCAGTGTTATGGAAGAACCATTCGCAAACAGAAGCATTTCTGCTTTGTCACCAGATAGTCTGTTTCTTTTCTCATCTGCCACATGTCCAGCCAGGCTAAACAAGCGCTCACTGTCAACACTTGTACATGGTGCAGAGAGGTAAGCTCGGGCAAGTGAAGCAAGTGCAGGGAAACGATTGGGATACTGAATAATAAAAACAAGTTTAAATGGGTCAATTTTCATTTTTCAAAACTTCATTTTTTTTCTGACATAGCCTACTCAAGTTCTTGCTAAAACACACTAGACATGCAAATTCTGTGCATTTTGGGCACTCTAGTCAATGCTTGTGTTTACACCAGCCGCGTCCAGAAGCGTCCCAGAAGCGACTCTCCGCGCCGCTTCGCTAAAGATAGGCGCTGAGTCTATTTTCGACGGACGCCGCGTCCAAACCGCACCGTAAATACAAAATAAAACAAAAAAAAACCTTCAAAATAAACACCCTGTGCAGACTCCCAATTGTATTGCACACCAATATATCCTTGGTAGAAACCATAGACTGTAAGGTAGAAACCCAAAAATAAGAAAAAAACCCGTTGGACAGGCAAATCACGTGGTCTCGCGCATCCATTCGCTTCGCTTCTGAAATGCTCCTGGTTTGAGTTGGCACCTCGTGGAGAACATGTGCAGTGTAAATAAGGGGTGATGCTGATGTTGCGCGATGTTAATCATGCGGCGCCCGAGTGCATTTGACCGGCATAAAATCAGCATATGTCAGACTGACCGGCTGGTCGCCGGTCATGGCCGATCACGTGAAAATCGGCCAATTCCGGTCACCAGCCGATCAATCGGTGCATCTCTATTTCCCTTATGAAAGCAGCCAAATGGCTTTCAGAGACATTTTTCAAGGCTATGTTGGGTAGGTAACAGAGAGGGATGTTTAATTTATGAGCAGACAGACTGTTTGGCCAGACATATTGGTGTAAGTGAGGACAGCCTACAAGGAAGACCCAGATAAAGCTCTGCTAAACTGGGACCGGCATAGACTAACAGTGACATCAGATACAGCAGCATGAAAAGGATAAAATGGGAGAGAGAGAAACAAGGGAGTAATCCAGAATACTCTGAATGAACTCTACAACTATCCCAGCATACTAAATACAGCTTCAACTGCGCAACAACTTCTCTTTGAGCAATCACATTTGTTCAGTGCTGTTCACACAAGCCCCAGAAGAAACTTTTTGCTAACTATTTTTGATAACTGCCATAAGGTGAGTGAATTGAGAAATTGGGATATGTAGTGTATTTAGTGTCCTTTTGACAAAGGTAGTTTCCGTTGCATTTTTGTGACAAACAGAACAAACGTCATTATGTCACATGCAGCGTCGTATACAAACGACAATATACAAATTTTGCTATTTTGAACTTTCTATTCATCAAAGAATCCTGACAACAATGTATCACGGTTCCCACAAAAATATGAAACAGCTTTCAACATTGATAATAACAAATGTTTCTTAAGCACCAAATCAGCATATTAGAATGATTTCTGAAGACTGGATGCTGATGCTGAAAATTCAGCTTTGCCATTCACAGGAATAAATTACATTTTATAAATATATTGAAATATAAAATTATTTATTAATTTATCTAAAATATATAAATAATATTTTATTTTGAATTGTAATATTATTTCACAATATTACTGATTGTACTGTATTTTTAATAAAACTTTTTTTTAATTGACACATGTTTTCAATAAATATTTACAGATGTCAATATAGCCAATAAAATATATATTTTTGATAATTTGATTTTGACATGTATATTCACTATAGAAATGTGTGGGGGGTTTTTTTCAATGGTTTTTTTTATATTTTATTTGTTTCCATAACTTTTTTAAGACCAGGAAATCACAGTTTTAAAATCCCCTGATATTTCCAGGTTTTCCTAATAGAAAACCACAAGCCAAAAGTTTCTTCAAACTAAGACAATTTTTTACTTGCATTTGTCAGGCATGTAAAATTTGGACCCTGTGTGAACAGCATCTGTAAAGTATAACAAAAATGAATGCAATAGTCATAAGGCAAATTTCCATCCTACCTGTAGCGCACTGTTTAGGAAGCAGCTGTTCTGACCCGGCTCATTGCTCAGGCCTTTGCTGGGTGCGATGGAGGTCATGGTGCGTGGGGTAAACATCCCCTGCAGCCCACTGCTGCCTGACGCAAAGTAGTTCCGCTTCCACGACATGGGTCCAGCTCCGCTTCACTCCCCCCTCCAATCACCACAAGAGCCACATCCTTCCCCAGCTAATCACGCTGGAGGAGGAGGGCATCCTGAATACGGTGCAGATGAGTGTGTGTGTGTGTGTGTGTGTGTGTGTGAATGAGAGAGAGTGAGCAGAGAGTGCCTTTGCTGGGCTGTTCTCTATGTTACTCCCATGAGAGAGGAATATGTGGGTCAGAGATGGGTGTTTGGTCAGCGAGTACAAAACAAAATTTATAATGAAGGAATCTGCCAACAGGTGTGAATATAATAGTGATGTTTTCTCTCGAGGGGGGGCGGATGAATCTCACTAATGTCTGTCTGTCTAAACGCCTTCCTGCACCTGAGATGGTAAAGTGGGGTCAAACGCAAATACTGGCCTGGTTAAAACCAGCTGTGTGACTGTTGCAGTGTTTGTTAGGGTAAGTGCTTGTGTCTATGTCTGTGGTCCGAGACACTGTCCTCACGAAGCTGTGTCCACTTTCTGTCCGCTGACTGATCTTCACTTCTGAGCCTCTGCAATGTGTTCTCTCTTAGCCCAGCTGGTCTGAAAAACAGAAATAATAATTTACACTCAAAAACGTTCCTTTTATTTAAAAAAAGAAAAGAACTCTTTCTGATGTTAATCTGCATAGAAAAGGAGGGTGAGTAGGAGTGGGAAACCTGTTTGGAAACCATCATAATTTTTAAACTTTAACAGATTTTTAAAAAATGGTTCTACTTTCCTTATACTTTATACAAAAGAACATGAATATGATAAATTACTTTTTGGATTAGGTGTCTCAGATATGCACCCCCCTCTGATTATATCTATCTCTCCATTGATTGACAATATTTTGGATAATCCAAGAAAATAAAATTTTTATTTGTAAAATATTTATTTCATTTTAATATTTTCTTCTTTTTTTTGTACCTTGATGGATGCAGTCCAAAATATAAGATCATAAAATAAATGAATTGTCTCTAATCAGATACAAATACACGTAAGAACGAATTATCTTATGTAGACCAAGGATGCATTTAGTTGATCAAAAATACAGTAAAAACAAGTGCATAATTCTAAAATTATTAGAATTGTATTTCCTTTATATTTTATTGAGACTATTTGAATTATACATATGTACATTTGAGCCTAAAATCTTTATTGTGGTTTACGGCCAGGTTATATGTCAACTACCTATTTTCACATCACTTTATGTCTTTTTACCCCTCTCATTTGTACAGTACACACAGTAAAGCAGTCCTGCACACCGATTGCCATGCAAATATATCAACTTAGGTATAGATGCAAAATCTCCACTCTAACAAATTTGGACCATCATATGTTTCATACCCTCATCCTGTCCCCTTTCCAACCAGCAGAAAGCAAGTGAGAGGAAGGTAAAGAGGGAGGGAAATGGGAGAGGAAAGACAGCAGCACTGCAGAGACACAGCTTGCATCACAGAGCTCTCCTGCCAGGTTGGTGGCATGTCCTATTCCCACTTCTACATAAATACACACCCACGTTCACACCCACAATACACACTCTGTCCACACGGTCCAGCCCTGCAGTTTGTCCTGTTCTCCTGAGGCAGAGGTATGGAGAGGGATGTTCTGATGTGGAAGAACAGTGTGTGACAGACCTGAGGCAGGTGTTACTGTACGTGAGGTTCCCGTTCTGCTTAATCAAGGTCAGGGATGTTCATGATCACCTACTGATCGATTCAATCACATAGGTCATTTAATAAATTAAGCTCAACAATTTCAAAACAGTGATAGTTTGCTAACACAACACAAGGAAATAATGTCAACAGAAAACGTGGCTTGTCAAGCTATTTATTGGGGGTCTAAGAACAGGTAAATCTGTCTGTCTCCCTGCATTATCCCACCTGACCATAATGTTGTTGCTCAACAGAGGACAGTGTAGCGTCATGCAATGTATTTAAACGATTGCCTTAAATATAAGCAAAAAGTAATATACCAAAATATATAGTGATGATCAATGAAGTGTTATTTATGTTTAGCAAGACTTTAACTATTTTTAGCACTCTTATTTTACTGTATTGCAATACATGTTGTTTAGCATAAATTTAATTAGTTTAATTTGCTGTTCATTTATTTCAATTAATAATAATGTATATAGAAAATATAGATATGACTCTTCAGTAAAATATCACTTTGTGGATCAATAAATATTTTGGACATTACTTTTTGGTCATATATTTAATATTTTTAAATATTTCAAATAATATTTAAAAATATTTAAATAACTTCTGTATTGATGATTTCCTCATAATTTGTATACAGCTGTACTGTAATACATTTAGGAAGAGGAAAACATCAATATTCAAGTTATTTAAAATTAATTATTATTTTAAAACATATTAAATATATGAAAATTCATTAATGACATAATTTTCATTTTTGGGTGAACTAACCCTTTAAGTGTATAGCTCCAGCTACTTTGACGCATGTGGTTGTGGTTAGTTGTCACAATGAATGAGAAAAGTTGTCATGGTGCCACTACTACATTGTAAAGCATTATCTATTGTAAAGAGTCATTTCATTATGGTTGTTGTTGTAGTGCTGTTGTTCCGGAATTTATTTTCAAGGAAGTAGCCTACCATGTCTATTAATGGGTTTAGCTACAGTAACATCTTCAGCTAGTTAGTTTGAGATCCTTTCCATCTAAACCGGTTATATATTTTTTAAGCCTAGAAGTAAATGTTTTATGAGCAGTATAACCATATTCATCCACACAATCATGCAGAGCCAAAGCACAACCAAAACAAAATGCATGCACTAGAGGGCCAAAAATGACATACTGTACCTTTAAAAAAATATGTGGCGCACTCAAAATACCATGTGCATGATGCCATTTTTTTTCATTATTTAAACATAATTTATTTATATAATGAAAAAGTTGCACATGGTAGATAAAGTTGGCTATATGCATCTTATTGTATTAATGCTAAACAATTAACTGTTCATTTTAATTAAAATTGATCATGAAAATACCTGCTTCGCATGCATGTGTGTCTTGGTTTCCATAAAACAGGTGTGAACACTCATTCTCAGGGGGCGGCAATGCTGAGGTCAGTGAAGGAGTTATTCACGGTTGGAGTCATGTGACCTGAGTAGCACGGGGTACAATTGTGAGTCACAGGCTGCCATGACAACAGCGCAGTCCACCCCCCCAAGCAGCATGCCGGTCGATGCCCCGACCTACTGTCATACACTAGCTGGCACTGTGCAACCATTGCACCAGAGGGTTTATGCATTTATATAATGCACTGCAGAGAACAGCACAACACAGCCAACAATTACGAAGAGGGGGACAAAGAGAGAGAGTGAACTAATGAGAGAGAGAGCGAGAGAGAGAGAGTAGAGGGCCTTTCTGATTATCCAAATAAGCTCAGCCCAATACGGCTCCTAATAACATGCACAAGACCAACAGCTCTGAAAAGGCTGTGTCCTCTGGAGCTGGACGGATAGGACCACTTCATTAACTTAGCAACAATCAGACGCCCGGGAACCAATTGAGAGCTGCTATCAATCAGACCAGGTCAGGATGAACTATGGGAAGTAATCGCCTCCTGGCTAGTGTGTTAGTAAACATGTTACGTAACACTCTGGTGCACTGTGTGGCAACCGCAAAGCCCCGCCTCCATACCTCATAGTTCTGCTGGCCACCAATCCGCCCAAACACACACACACGCATCTCCCTAAATCCCCTTTTAATTCCGTTAAATGGCAGAGTTCCAGTGCCACACTGCCAGGATCCACAGCCGTGGAGATACCTTGGCAACCACACAGAGGGCACTGGGATTCTACAAAGAGAGAGAGTGAGAGAGATGGATGAGCTTGTAGCCTCTCATGATCCCTGTCCCTGATCTTCACCTCTCTTGGGCCTCCATATAAAAATCCACAGGATTCCATTTTTATTATTTCACAGAGCAAACAGGAGAGTTTTTTTTCCAAAACAGTTCAGCAAAACAGAGATTTCTCTTCAAGTCCCCCTGTCATCTATAATTTTATCCCTTAAAACTCATCTTTGATCTGTGAAAATTATTTCTTCATGCATTAAAATAGCTTGAACATACATCTACAACCTTTCTTCATTTAGTATACGCATTCCCATGAATATGCAAATTAGCTCCGCCTCCACTCAATCACACAAGCTCAGAATACCTGATCCACTCAGTCAACTTTACATGAAATGCTACACAATGGCAAGTGGAAATACTGGTTTAATTCATACATGTTTGAAGCAGAAACTGATTCAGAAGAAGAAGAGGAAGAGGAAGAGGATGAGCTAATTATACAGGTTCGTCTTCAAGTCGATGTGTCAGAATGGTAATGCATTTTATGTATTGCTCTCTACATCAGACACATAACAGTAATTAATATGATTAGCCTTTGGCTTAACTACGTTATCAAATGGCTAATAATGTGTTGCTAATGTTACACGAACCATGTCCCCGTTCTCCATCTCTGAGTCAGACAGCTGCCTTCTAAAAATCAGTATCCTTAGAAACGCTTTGACCAACTTAGAACTTCAGTGCAGAAAGGCATATAGTTTATTATATACATAATTCACCCTCTATATTGCTAAATGTATCCGATTAAATGTTTTCATATCAACAGAAAAATATACCAGGACGTTGACAGGATTGGTTACATTTTTGTGACATAGAGAACAGGGACGATTTCATAACAGGTTTTTGAGACTGTTGTTAAACTGCCGTTTTAATGATAAAATACTAAGAAATGGTGTTGACTGATGAATTTGCACATGGTTTGTCTTACAGCATAATAAAAACACCACACAGACATATAAGCAACACTAAAAACTTGATTTTTCTCAATATCATTTAACAAGGGGTCCACTTGAAGGAGGTCTGCCAATTAATATTTGATGACAAATATTTTTTGTTACAATTTTCTTTTTTTAAATCCACCCTAAAACGAAGGCAAGACAACACTCGGTTGATACTGTAATAACATATTGGCGAAACAGATTTGGCATACACTCCAGTGTGTATTTATGTTTGCACTCTAGTCTAGAGAATGCAGTGGTGAGAAATGTAGCCAATTACATACATGGTCAGGGGTGTTTAATTTAGTCAGTACTAAGTAAGAGATTCATTGTTCAGTGTAGACAGCTTCATTGATTATAATGAAACTTCGCAATGAACTCAGATTATTGACATCTTTTTAGCGTTCTTTGCGCTCGTTCGAGGCTATACTGTATACAATCCATTGAATAAAAGTTTTGTAAGAAGACCGACAGTCAATTACATGCTGCAAAATTTCAGAAGTGGCGTTTACTAATATAACTATGATAATATGGTTGGTTTCATTTAATATCAAAGGCAATATGCTTAATGTGTAGCTGTTTGACACATTTTGTATCGGGGGTCCCTGCTCTATGTCTCTATCGCCTAAGGGGTCCTTGCCCTGAAAAACATTGAAGACCCCTCCTGTCTTAAAAGGATACAGTTTCAGCCCAGTGTATTACTTATCTTCCCAACCTGTCAACCAGCACGGCTAAAAGTGCGGATAAT